AGGGAAATGTAAAAAAATAACTTAGGAAGCAGTGAGGTAAAGGAAATCAGGGAGACTTGATATGATGTTAGCACAAGCAAGAAACGCAAGCAGTGGGTAAGAGCTTGAACTAGGGCAGTGACTGCAAATGCTAAAGAGAGATGGACTCGGGATACTTCAGAGGTAAATGATCTGGGGCTTGACATTTGAATGGAATGAAAGAATGTTGTAGGTGTTCAGTAAAAGTTTGTGGATATTTTGGTGTGTTTTAATATGTAATTGAAACTAAATCAGAATATCTTGTATTTACGCTTGAAGTACCCTATTCTTTTTCCATAGAAATAGGCATTTTAAGAAATAAAAACAAATGAAAAATAAATTATAATGCAAAGTAATCTAACTAACTTAACAACATTATTTGCTTCATGTTTTATAACAATATTCTAGACTTGTTTATATCTTACTTAGTTTATATTCCATAAATGATTAAGATTTTTAAAAAATGAAAGTAACTATATTTAATAAAAATTTTAACCAAGTTTCCCAATGAAAAAATTTTTGAGGGGTAAAAAGAAAAAAAAATACTGATGCATTTCTAGAATTTCAAAATACATTAAAAAGAGGACTATTATAAGCTTCCTTAATTTTTCCATAATGAGTATTTTTTACAGTAGGAACAGAAGTTTTTACCTACTGAATTTATACTCATTTCTAGTCTGTTCAAACTCAGGGTGAATGAAACGTTTCTTAACACCTATAGATATATTAAATGGTTGGGATCAGAAAAGGTTTTGATGTGTGAAAATTTAGTTGTATCTCAAGATACGTTAATGAAGTATAAATAGAAAAACTGAGAATGTTTGGCATATGTCCAGTCTCAGGGTGACATTTACCTTGCTATAAATGGAGAGATGGTTGATGTCTCTAGAAAAAAATGTCATTTATACTGATGAAGTAGACAGATGAAGTAGACAGACAGTGGTAGGGGGAGTTGCTCTATGTAAAATTCTTTTAAAAAACTGAAGATCTGCATTAATGTGGATTGCTTTGGTATATGCTAAAGCTTATTAAAAGACCCAGTGGTTTAGATGACAAGAAGGCTATTCTGGAGATGGCTAAATTCAGCTTGATTTTAGTTAGAATTTTTAAGATGCCTTTCAATAGGTGTTAATTATGGAGGCAACTCTCATTATCTTTGCTAACGTGAAGTAATCAGTGGAAACATAATTCAGAATAGGGGATATTGTAATAGTTTTGACATTGAGATATATTTACCTCTTGCAATTTGAATATGGATGATGATCTTCAGAGGGGAATTTCATTTAAACAAAATAAGAAGATTCCTCTGTGAGGAGTAAAGAAAAAAGGTATGTTGTTTGCTTGAGAAATTTGATCAAGAATTTCCTTCCCATAGTTTCTCATTTTTCAATCATAGTAAGAAATTATTAGGGGAAAATAAGCAGAAGAGAATTTTCAAGAGATTAGTGAAGTTTGGATATCAAAATTGGGGGACTCAGTTTCCATACTGGTAATTATTTTTCATGTTTCTCTTTCCAATGTCCAGTCATCTCTCAAACAAAATAGAAGTATCTTTTAACCAGTTAATTGATAACCTTGCTTTTTTCTTTGATTCCTAGAGAAATGGGAGGTATGTTACAACTATTTTTTTATGTTTAGATAATAATTATGATACTTAGAAGTGCCAGATTTATTAGACTTTTAAGTGTAAGTTTATACTTAGAATTGTTTTGACACAGATTTTGAATCAGTTCGTATTTAGTTGTAGTTTTGTCGTGATTTTGAGTTACTACATCACTGTTTTCTTTTTCTTTAATTTGTTAGATACATACAAATCCGTGCTTTTATCAGTCTTCTGAGAAGAGCCAGCTCTTACCATTGAAGACAAATCTATGGCACTGGTTGAATCCTGGAGATAGTTTCTCTTTATTAGTTGACAAGTACATTTTTCGTGTTTTGTCTACACATTCTGAAATGGAAGTGGAATGTCCTTTAAGGTAAGATTGCCTGATGAAATGCAATTAAGTAATGGTATTTGTAATCTAATTCCTCAGTCATCCACAAAAGCTTCAGTAGAAACCACTCTAGAATTCAACTATATTGGCGATAGGTCTTACATCGTGAGTGAGTGTGTGTGTGTGTGTGTTTTTCTAGAAAACATTAGATTTTGGAAACTTATGCCTCAATAGTGATTGCTTCCATATGTTGTATCTTTTACCATTGTGTTTAGAATATATTTCACATCTAACAATAACCAGGATAGTTAATTTGAAACTGACTACATTTTCTTAATCTTTTTTTTTAGTTTTTAAAATTTTCTTAAGGTATTAACCTCTGTTTTAGATTATGCTTGTATAACTCTTCTTATAAAAATAACAGAAAATATAGAATAGGGAAACGAATGAAATGAGGTTGCAATAAATAGCTGATGTAAAATTGAAATGAATGCACTAGTTTTGTTGAGGCAGTCATTAGCAGATTATTCACCTTTGTTTTAGCTTTTAAATTATAGAATACTTAAACTGGACCTATAGAAGTAGATGGACAAAATTATATAGAGTGTGTTCTTTGACGGCACTGGTATTAAATTTAAAAATCAATAAAAATACAATATCTAGGAAAATCTTCAAGTGTTTTGAAATTGAATAGCACATACCTAGGTAACCTCTGGATCCAAGAGAAATCACAAGGGCAGTTAGAAAACATTTTGAACAGAATAATACTGAAAACATAACAAAAACATTTGTGAAATATATCTAAAGTAGTCCTTTGAGGGAAATTTATATTAAATGCCTATATTAGAAGAGAAGAAAGAGGTAAAACTGATGCCCTTTGCTTCTATTTTAAGAAGATAGACAAACAGGAGTAAATTAATCCCAAAATAGACAGAAAAAAGGAAACAATAAGAAGAATAGGACTAGAAATCAATGAAATAGAACATAGACAAATAACAAAGAAGATCAACAAAGCCTAAAGTTAGTTTTCTGAAAAGACTAATAAAATTGATAAAATTGGGGCTTCCCCGGTGGCACAGTGGTTGAGAGTCCGCCTGCCGATGCAGGGGACACGGATTTGTGCCCCGGTCTGGGAAGATCCCACATGCCGCAGAGGGGCTGGGCCTGTGAGCCGTGGCCGCTGAGCCTGCGCGTCCGGAGCCTATGCTTCGCGATGGGAGAGGCCACGACAGTGAGAGGCCCGTGTACCGCAAAAACAAAAAACAAAAAACAAAACAAAAAAAACACCAAAATTGATAAAATTGACAAGGCTTACCAAGAAAAAGAAGCTGGAAAACACAAATTATCAATATCAGGAATGGAAGAGGCAGTATCACTACTGATCCTGCAGACCTTAAAAGAATAATAAAGAAATAATTATTAAAACTTTATGCCAGTAAAACTGATAGCCTAAATGAATGGATGCATTCCTTGAAAAACACAATTTACCAAAACTGATACAGGAAGAAATAGAAAATCTGATGAATCCTATGTCCATTAAAGAAATTGAGTTCCCAATTTAAGAATTTCCTGCAAGGAACTTCACTAGTGATTTCTCTTAAACTTACAAGGTACAAATAATACCAATATTATACTTTTTTCTCCAAAATAGAAGAGAGTACATTTCCCCACTCATTTTATGAAGCTTCCGTAATCCTGATACCAAAATCAGACAAGAACATTACAAGAAAAGTAAATACAAACCCACATTCCTTATAACAAAATATTTAGAAGTCAAACCCAGCAATGTGTGAAATAGATTTTAATACACTATGACCAAGTGAAATTTGTCTGAGAAATGCAAGGTGAATTTATCATATATATAAAAAAAAAACCAATCAGTGAAATTCACTATAACAGATTAAAGAACTGTCATTCCAGTAGATGCCTAAAAACAGTTGTGACAAAAATTTAATACCTGTTAAAAAAAACCTTAGAGAAAACTAGGAAAAGAAGGAAATTTCCTTCTTATAAAAAAATACTTGATAGTTAGGTATTGAAAAGTTCTCTCCCAACAGTTGGGAACAAAACAAAGATATCCATTTGCACAACTTCTATTCCATGTTGACTGGAGGTCCTAGCCAGTCCAGTAAAGCAAGAAAAAGAAATAAAGTGCATCATACTGGAAAGAAAGAAGCAAAACTGTCTTTATTTGCAGATGACATGATTGTCTATTTAGAAAACCCTGAGGAAGCAAGGCACAAAACAATACCTAAACTACTGTATAGTTACATTTATATTACATTCTATTATAAGAAAACTAATCCATCAATGTTTATTTCTGGCGGATTGACTAGGAAGGGGGACCACAAGGGAACTTTTTGGGGGTGATGGATATATTCTCTGTCATTTTAAAAATTATAGTTGATTTATAATATATTAGTTTCAGGTGTACAGCATAGTGATTCAGTATTTTTATAGATTATACTCCATTTAAAGTTATTACTGAGAGATGGCTGTAATTCCCTGTGCTGTACAATATATCCTTTCGCTTATCCATTTTATTCACAGTAGTTTTTATCTCTTAATCCCATAACACTATCTTGCCCATCCTCCCTTCCCTCTCCCTAGTGGTATACACTAGTTTGTTTTCTATATCTGTGAGTCTCTTTCTGTTTTGCTATATACATTCATTTGTTGTATTTTTTAGATTCCACATATAAGTGATAACGTACAGTATTTGTCTTTCCCTGTCTGACTTATTTCACTAATGTAAAACTCTCTAGGTCCCTGCATATTGTTGCAAATGGCAGAATTTTATTCTTTTTTATGGATGAGTAATAGTCCATTGTGTGTGTGTGTGTGTACACATGTGTGTGTGGGTATGTGTGTGTATATATATATATATATATATATATATATATATGTATCTTTGTTTGACAACAGGCCATTCATCTGTTGATGGGCACTTGGGCTGCTTCCATATCTTGGCTGTTGTAAATAGTGCTGCTATGAACATCAGGGTGCATGTATCTTTTCGAATTAGTGTTTTTGTTTTTCTAGGATACGTAGCCAGGAGTGAAATTGCTGGATCATATGCTAGTTCTATTTTTAGTTTTTTGATGAACCTCTGTAGTGTTTTCCATAGTGGCTGCACCAATTTATAGTCTTAAACAGTGCACAAGGGTTCCCTTTTCTCCACATCCTCACCAACACTTGTTATTTGTACACATTTTGATGATAGCCATTCTGACAGGTGTGAAGTGATATCTCATGGTGTTTTGATTTGCATTTCTCTAGTAATTAGTGATGTTAAGCAACTTTTCATGTTCCTGTTAGTAATCTGTATGTTTTCTTTGGAAAAATGCCTATTTAAGTCTTCCGCCCACGTTTTGATCAGGTTGTTTGGCACATGGCTACACGGAGTTGCAAGGAAAGCTGGGCAATGTAATCTCCAGCTGGGTGGATAGCCATTGTTAAAGGTGCTTATAGATCAGTGCCATTACAACTTTGCTGACTGTTATGCAAATAATGTCCACTTAGCCTCTGATGGTTAAATGCTAACCACCTGGCCTCTACAATTCTAGAATGCTGTCATCTCCATTGATGCTAAAGAGCCTTGTTCTTGGCAGCCTCTCCTACCATCAACATTGACCTATAGAGGCAGTTACCGTTGAGCTCTTCAACACTGCCTCACTAGTATGTACCTTATAGCTTAGTGTTCTGGGCCCTTCTGGGGAACATGGTCAGGTGGGGGATTCTCTAGTCTCACGTAATAAGTCCATTTTAGCATGCCCACCTCTTAGAGCCTATTGACCCCCTTTTCAGTACCATGCCAGGGCATTCTCTATTTCTACCCTATTTACTGTAAACATATTCTTTTCCCAAGCATGAACAAACCATTTCAGCTGTATATTAGGACTGGCTTCAGGTGTCCTTACCAGTACCTTAAATCCTAGGTTGCAGGACAGTGGTTTTTTTCCAGTTTTATTCTGCATCCCCTGTTTTAGCATCTTCAAGATCTATTCTTGGGCATGCTCTTCTGGTTTCTGTCAGTACATATTAGCCAGGTCCTGTAGCTCTTTAGTAAATATTTGCTTTCCTGTTGAAGTAGGGACAGTACTTTTCTAGTCAGGTAATGATGAGTTGACCTTGGTTATTGGAATAGAAGCCACGAGGGGTGGGAGGGCAGGTCTTGAGGAAGGCAAGTATCATCATGACAGGTATACCATTGGGAGGCAGCTTCCTGGTCTCCAGACAAAGAAAGGCTACTATCCTCTAGCAAGGGGGAGTGAACCATGTCTTAGACTGTGGAAGTATTGAAATATATTTTAGACATTTTTTGATACCATTGGGATTCTCATATATTTTAGAACTAGCTCCATTTTGTAGTGTCTACCTCATAAAAACACCATTGTACTGTTGTGTAAGATTTACACGTATGAACTTTTTAATCTTCACAACCATCTTTATAAGGAATAGGTACTGTTAAAATCCCTATATTACAGATTAGGAAACTGAGACACAGAAGGTTTGAGACTTGCCCAAGGTCTCATAGCTAATATGTGACAGAAATCAAATACAACCTGACTAGGACTATAGCTCTTACTGACTTCCCTGACTGTATAAGAAAGCTTACTATAGCAGTCATTCTAATAGTGAAGACACTTGGAGAGTGGCTAAATAAATTTGGTGTAGTTTTAAAATGGAGTGAAAGTGAATGGACTAGAGAGAGCTCCAGGTTAAAATGTGGATAAATCTCCACAATGTAATGTTGAGGAAAAAAACAAACAAAAAGATTACATATATATAAAGCATACACTGTTTGTTTATAGATTATATATTACATATTATACCTGTGTATTATGGATTATTTGGATTACTTCATGAATAATATATATATTATGTGTATATATATACACAAGTAATGGATACATACATATAGTAGTAAAAGTATAAGGACATGCATGTGAATAATAAAATCAGAATAATTTTCCTTCAAAGAATGGATGAGAGGGAGAGGAACAAGATTGAGGCTGGACACAGAGGAAGCTTTGATTGTATTTATAATTAATCTGGAGCAAATATGACAAAATGTTTCTCTTTGGGTGGTGGATACAGAAGTATTTATATTAATAGATAAGTAGATAGAATACATATATTATATTCTCTGTATATTTCTACGTGTTGAAATATTTTTAAATTTGAATAAGAACAGAAAAGAAAACCTATGTGCTTTGTGTCAGTTGTAAGGACCCCTGATATCACTGTAAATTTTTTCTTCCAACCAGTTATGAATTTAAGAAAGAGATTTGAACAACAAAACAGCAGTACAAAAGCTTGTCATTTCTTTAGGTTCTCACTTCACTCATGTCAACATGCTTTTCATGTAGTGTTTAGATTCTGTATAATAAATCCCATTCATAATGAACTCAATGAGAGCATATGGGTCTATACATATCAGCTCTAGTGTGTTCATTTTTCACTCTTTTCTGTATATGTTTCTATGAAATTATTCTGTGAGAAGTACTAAAATCCATACTTTTTTGAGAAGTCAAAGTAAGAAAGCCAAAAAGAAGTTTTAGATTTTAGCTAATTAAATTTTGACGTATTTCATATAGAAGGACCAACATTAATTTTGCATTCCTATTGCTTCCCCAGTAGTGGGTACTTAGCAGGCATTGGCTTCTTGAATACATGAATGAAATATTGTATAGCATTTTCTTTATCTGAATTTCATTGCTGATAAGGAAGTATAACATTCTCTCTCTAGAGGGATTATTTTCTTTAAAACACTGTTGAGGAAAGGAAAGTAAATCTTTTGTACCAAGTTACATTTTTCTTTCAAATTGTTAAAGTTCATAATACTTAGATTCCATATAAATAGCTAATTTTAATCACTTTAATTTTGGACAGGACAAAACAGTAAAATGTTGATGAAAATGCCATTGTAATATGAAAGTGTGCATGTTTACAATTCATTTATAATTATTTTAAAACTTACTTTTAGATCCAGCTCATACATATTAGCAGTACATTTTGTATTAAAGACAAAATATATAACTTATATTTAAATATAACTTGGAATATATCTTTAAGAGTTAAGAATAACTTAATTGCCAAAACAGTCTTTATAAAGAAGAAAAGAGTTGGAAGATTCACACTTCATAATTTCAAAACCTGCTACAAAGCTACAGTAATCAAGACAGTGTAGTACTGGTGTGAAGAAAGACATACAGGTCAGTGGAATACAGTTGAGGGTCCAGATATAAACCCTTACACTATGGCCAATTAATTTTCCACAAGAGTGCCAAAACATTTAAATGGAGAAAAGAGTAGCCTTCTCAATAAGTGGTGCTGGGACAAATGCAAAAGAATGAAGTTAGACTCCTACCTCACCACATAGAAAGAATAAACTTAAAATGCACCAGAGACCTAATATAAGAGCTAAAACTATGAAATGCTTAGAAAAAAACACAAGTATAAATTTTTGTGACCTTGGATTAGGCAATGATTTCTTAGATATAAGAACAAAAGCACAAGCAAACAAAATAGATAAATTGGACTTCATCACAGTTAAAAACTTCTGTGCTTCTAAGGATACCATCAAGGAAGTGAAAAGACAACCCACAGAAGGAGAGAAAACATTTGCAAGTCATATATCTGATAGGGGACTTCTATCTAGAATATGTAAAGAACTTTTACAGCACAGTAATAAAAAGACAACCCAATTTCAAAATGCATACTAAATTTGAGTAGACATTTCTTCAGGGAAAATACCCGACTGGCCAATAAGCACATGAAAAGATGCTCAACATGAAATGCTAATCAGAGCCACAATGAGATACCATTTCACGTTCAGTAGGGTAGCTATGGTAAAAAAGACATAATAACAAGTGTTGATGAGGTTGTGGAGAGATTGGAACTCTTATGCTTTGGTAGTGGGTTGTAAAGTGTTACTGCCTCTTTGGAACACATTCTGGCAGTTCCTCAAAATTTTAAACGCAGAATTACATGCGACACAGCAATTGCACTCCTAGGAATGTACCCAAAAGAATTGAAAACGTCTGTATACAAACAACTTGTATGATTCCATCTATATGAAGTTTCAGAAAATGTAAATCTCTAGAGACAGAAAGTAGATTAGCAGTTGCTGGGGCTGGAGAAGAGAATGGGAAGTGACTGCTGATGCATATGGGATTTCTTTTTGAGGTGAAGAATATGTTCCAAAATTGGTGATCATTGTACAACTTTGGAATATACTAAAACTACTGAATTTTATACTTTAACAGCATGAATTTCCTGATTATGTGAATTATGTCTTGATAGCTATTACCAAAGAAAAGGGTAACTCATTTACCTTTGTTATATTGTATTTAGATTAAATTCCAAGTTTTTATTTTTATTTTTTAACAAATTCTGGTTACACTGTATTATAAATCTGTGATAGTTGATTGCTTGAGGAAGTATTTGAAGATAATATAAAAATATGTCCATATCACAGTGACAATATATTAAAAGTATAAGAGAATAATTTGCACTTTGACCTATTTGAAACTAAATGTTGGAATTTTGTTCTGGGATAGGATTTTTTTTGTTGTTATATTTATTCTTGGTAAATATTAATAAAAATTCCCTATGGCTATAGGATGTGTGTGTATTAGTCTTGAATTTATGCCAGAATAGAAAAACTAGAAATGGAATGGATGATGTTACTTAATTTGTAACACTGTAAGTTGTAAAAAGCCATTGCATTTCTCTGGAGTGTTTCTTAATATTTTTCAAATTAAATATTAAGAAAATTTGAGGGAAAAAAATCAGAATTTGGAAGCACACCTGTGTGTTGTGAGTAAAATGGATTTGAATATTGTGATGGGAGTGCAATTTCATGCAATCATACATTTTCAACTCTGAGTCCCCAGTGCCTGGCACAGTGTCTGACCCTAGGTATTTTAAAAATATTTATTGAATGAACTAAAACAGTGGTGTTGCAGGGAAATTTAGTCTAAGTAAGTTGTTCTCTTTTGACTGATTCCTGCCATGAATTCGGGTCTGCCTTTGAAGGCGATTATTCCTATAAGATACACTAAAACAAATAAAACAAGCCATTAATTATTCTTTTCTCAGCTAGACAAAGTTTTTTAATGTTAGTGTTTACTGAGGAACATTTTACCAATAGTAAAATTCACCCCTTTTAAATGTATAATTCAGTGCACTTTGACAAATTTGGGTAGTCATGTAAGTACCACCACAGTGAGATATAGAACATTTTCATTTCCCCAGAAAATTCCCTCCTGCCTCTTTGTGGTCATTCCCCTCCACCACCCACTGTTTCTGGCGACTTCTGATCTGATTTCTGTCCTTGTAGCTTTACTTCTTCAGAATGACATATGCATGGATTCATACGATAGTACTTTTTGTGTCTGGCTTCTTTCACTTAGCAAACTGCCTTTGAGATTCATCCAAGTTGATGTACATATCATACTTTTTTCCTTTTTATTTCTGAATGGTATTTCCATCTATATTTTCAAATTTTCAAAAAGATAAGTCTGGGGCTTCCCTGGTGGCGCAGTGGTTGAGAGTCCGCCTGCCGATGCAGGGGACACGGGATCGTGCCCCGGTCCGGGAAGATCCCACAGGCCGCGGAGCGGCTGGGCCTGTGAGCCATGGCCGCTGAGCCTGCGCGTCCGGAGCGTGTGCTCCGCGGCAGGGGAGGCCACAGCAGTGAGAGACCTGCATATTGCAAAACAAACAAACAAACAAACAAACAAAAAAAGATAAGTCTGTTGCATCATCTCTGTGCATACATAAAGAATAATGATCCAGAACTTTGGATGATCTTACCACACTTTGCAGCAAGTAGGAGGTAATTGGTTCTGCTAGTATGTTCCACATGTGACCGTGGATGCTCCTGTGTTGGACTACAAGTTTGGGGAGATTTCACAAGTGGCTGCACTGGCCAGGACCCCAGTAGCAGCAGTGTGTGAACTTGACCTCAGGATTTTATTTCTTTTTTCTTCAGGAGCCTACCTAGCTTAGCTGATGTTCTTACAGTTTGCATTTTCTTTTTGGATACTTGGAGGCGATCTTAACTTTTATGGACAATCTGAACAAATACTATATAGTAAGTAAATAACTCTTAAGCCTTCATAGAGATGGCCACTGCCCATCTTATAAATAGCTGTGATTTCTAGGCCCATGTTTTGGAAAGATTAATATATTTTATGGTGATAGAGTGGGCAGAAGATGAGGAACATATTCTAGCCTATATATTCTAGCATACTATAATCTGCTTTTTTGCCTTCGTAAGTCTGAGAAAAGTAGCATAACCCATTAGTTAGATGTACTTGGGAGAATCACATAATGGCACGGTAGGCAATAGAAATGTTTTAAATTTAAGTGATTAATATATGAATTTCAATTGTATTTCATAGAAACAGTCAAATACTTGATGAAGATGATATATTGAATGAAACACCAAAATCTTCCTCGTTTGATTTGCCTGATGAGACACCTGATGCCCCACAGTTGGAAAGAAGCACAGAAATAGGAAAGACCCAGACCACTGCAAATAGTGTGGTAAGAAATTTAAGATCTCATCCATTTATAACATGTTCCTTAAGGAAAGAAAAGACAACTGGTATTAGACATATCATGACAAAATTTCTAGCATTGATCTGCTTTTGCTGTTTTTAAGTTAAACTCTAGAGAACATCACACTAGACCAACACTTCAACTAATAGAGATATTGAATTTCTTTCTTTGAGAACTTTGAGCAACTCAGTCCACAGTTGCAGATGGATATTTTTAATGGTAGTTTTCTGCAAAGTAAATAATTTTTATGGTTTTATTAAGGATGCAGGATTACTTTTAGCAATTCATATATAGGTGCCTTTTTAGTCTTTCCTAGATGAAAGTAGAGACTTGAGTAAGCAACAGCCAAACCCTTCCCAGAGGAAAAGAATCCTTCCAGCATGGATGTTAACAGAAAATCTAAGTGATCAGAACCTTTCAGTACCAGTCATCAGTGGAGGTAGGTTTTGTTTCAAGAAAATATTTAACAGAATTTGAAAGTTTTTCTGAACAAATGTAGACAGAATAGCAGTTATGTAAGTGTATAACTTAGCCTAACATTTCTTTAGATGTGTTCATGAAGTCTAATTTTAAACATAAACTATTATTTTATGCCATTTACCAAACACCATTCTGCTAATTATTATGATTATGATTATTTTTTAGTGGCTTAAAACAGTACTCATTTATTAGCTTGCAGGGTTTTTTTAAATAAATGTATTTGTTTGTTTGTTTATTTACTTATTTATTTATTTATGGCTGCATTGGGTCTTCGTTGCGGTGCACGGGCTTCTCATTGCAATGGCTTCTCTTGTTGCAAAGTATGGGCTCTAGGCATGCGGGCTTCAGTAGTTGTGGCTCGTGGGCTCTAGAGCTCAGGCTTAGTAGTTGTGGCACACTGGCTTACGTGCTCGGTAGCATGTGGGATCTTCCCAGACCAAGGCTCGAACCTGTGTCCCCTGCATTGGCAGGCGGATTCTTAACCACTGTGCCATCAGGGAAGCCCTAGCTCACAGTTTTTTTTGTTTTTTGTTTTGTTTTGTTTTTGCGGTACGCAGGCCTCTCACTGCTGTGGCCTCTCCCGTTGCGGAGCACAGGCTCCGGACGCGCAGGCTTGGCGGCCATGGCTCACGGGCCCAGCCGCTCCGCGGCATGTGGGATCCTCCCGGACCGGGGCACGAACCCATGTCCCCTGCATCGGCAGGCGGACTCTCAACCACTGCGCCACCAGGGAAGCCCTAGCTCACAGTTTTAAAGATGAGAAGTCCAGGCAGATTCAACTGAGTTGTTTGTTGAGATTTTCACAAGAGAAATCCAAGTGTCTGTCAGGCTGGGTTCTGACCTGTGTGTCATGGGAGAATCCCCTTAGAAGATTATTCCAGTTGTGGAGAATTTGCTTCCTTGCAGTTGGAGGACTAAAGGACTTGTTTTCC